TGAGGAGAGAAATTTTGTTGAATTTTTATAACCATACGTATGTAAGTAAGTACGGATTAAAATATTTTACTTTAATAAAGTATTCTTTTGTTTTTTTTTTTCTTTGGAAAATCACTGAATGGTTTTATAGTTTTTACAGTAGACCCATTCCGAAATGACGTTTGGGATACTAAGTGCAGGTGGTCATAAAGTTTAAATTAGAAAACTTGAAAGTGTCTTCATAAGTATAAGCATATATTAGGTGACTATAGGGTGACAACCGGATTTCAAAAACAAAGTGCGATATAAAATAAGTGGAACACCGTCATCTATGGTAACAGAGGATATCTAGAATTTATTTGATAAAAAGCGGATAACTTGTTGGGAACTAGGGGAGTTAGATTGGCCGAAAACGTTTGGGCAAAAGAATTAGTTTGGTAGTAGGAGGTTACAATTCGTCCGAATAAGGAAACTAATGAAAAACTCGACTCGACTCGACTGAACTGGTTTTGAAGAAACCGTGAAACCTGTAAAAGAAGAACCTAACATACGGACGATATTTTACGGGTATTCCAGAGATTTAGTTTATAAATGGCAACCGCAGCAGCAGGGTACGTTAGAGCGCTTTCCGGAAACTTTCAGCAAAGTTTGAAATTTTATATTAAAAATGTCGCAGTAATACATTGACAATGTTGGTAAGAGTTTTTCGTGATGGTTTAATGCCAAAGCCTCTCGTTTTGTTATATTAGTGTAAAATATTTCAGTAGAAGATGTCAAAGATTATGACAGACTTTGGCGATCTAAAATATCCGTTACTAATAATAATAAGAAATTGAGATTATCATTGTAGAACTCATTGAAAAGTGAGAGATGGTTCCTGGAAAACACCATTTACTAATGCTTTGCATATGAAACTAATAGTTGGAAGATCGAGAGTCTCCTTCGAAAGGGCAAATGCGGTAGATTTACTTTTGTCGTAATTATAGTGAGTGCTCAGTCGATAAAGCCACTTAGTGGTTGGACATATACCCACTAGGCTTCGACTGCGGTCGCTTTTCTGTCTCTTCTCTTTTCTCATTTCCTTCCGATCGCGACAATATTGTGCAAATAGGAGACGTCCTCGGAGTGATTGGTTCATATTAGAAAAAAAAAACATATTTTAACGAAGCAGAAAATTGTTCTTTCGCTGCGAGCTCCTTATTATCTAGCTAAGAGTCTCACATTTCCAAATCGAAAGATCAGTCGAAGGATTCTCTTTCTGTTTCTTAACACTAGCTAAGGTCAAGGTAAAATTACAATTCGTTGTCGGGGCTGCAGACGAAAAACAGTTTTGTCAATGCTGCATTAATTGGAAACAGCGTTTGCGAACAACGGGTACAGCAAAAGAAGGCTATTTTAAAGAGAATGGAATATGTACTGAAGATTAAATAATTTTTTTGTAAGAATATTGAAAATTCTTTGCATCAGACCTTGTATTGTCCGAATAACTATTAGAAAAGTTCAAAAATATATATTCAACGTTCTAAACAGGTAACGTATATGATTCAAAAAACTTTAAACGGGTATGCAAAGCTTCGCATATTGTATATGGCAGTTTACAAGTTTAAATGAAATAATAAAGTTTGCTCAGTCTGTCTTTCTGATAACTTCTGCTAAGAACAAAAGAATGGCAGCTTTATTAGATATTTGAAAGGGGGAAAATTTATTACTGTCACAGAGTCTCAACTTTTATATTTTATAATATTTATATATAGTTACTCAAAAGGACATTTATAGTAATATATGAATGTATATTTACAAGTGTACGGTTGCGTGAGTCATAATATAGATCCTGAAAAGTAAAAGTGCAACAACGAGTATTTGGCAGAGTTTTTAGTCATACATTTTCAACCTTTAGAAAACTTTAGTAACACAACAACCATGACTCATGTATCCTTTATTGACTGACTCATATGTACATATACATATATATATATATATATATATATACGTATATGCATATAAGCTTGTACATATACGTATTTCTATAGACGTATATAGAAAGACATGCATTTCATGCATACAGTTGCTTGCTGCCAGGTCTTTATTATAAGATAAATTTCATTGATAGTTTAAGCATATGCAGACATTATGTATGTTTGTGCGTTTTTGCGAATAAATCTTATAACACGAAACATAAATCACTTTTGTCGGTAAGGCAAAAGAAAAAGGAAAAACGATTTTAATTTTCGAAATATCTTTAAATTTAATTATGACATATGCAACGTTGATAGTCTTTCATTTCATGCGTGTGTGTGTGTGTATTATATGTGCTTACCAAATATATTTCAACATCAACGTTAATTACTGTTATTTAACAGTAACAGCTTATTTGCTTTATTTACAAGTATTTAATCCTTATCTCTCGCCGCACTGTTAAATAAAAGTCATTCGATAGTGGAGAGATTGTAACTTACGTACACTCATAAATTGCTTCGTTTGTATTTGATTTTTTCACTTTCGGGGTTAATTAAACATTTTGCTCTCGTTTTTATCTCGTGGATTTTCATTTTCTCTCGTTCTCTTTAATTTAATAATCACTAAACTAGCGGGTGGTATAAAAATTGCCATTTTCCGCTATTATATACGAAAAGAATATTTATACGAATCACTATAGGCGACGATGCAATGATGGTGGTGCATTAATTAAATCGTTCCGTAACGCCGCAAAATGTATAACTTTTTTTTAATAAAGAAATATCGAGAATTTATTTGAACAAAAGTAATCAGTAAACTAATCCTTTGCTGCCTAACTTTTATAAGTTACCCTTGCGGACTAAGCGTATTGTTTAAGACAATTGTAAATTATAATGAAATATTAAATAAGGGAGAGCTGATGGAAAAAATTTGTGCATTAAGGGGTAGTGTAAAGGGAGGGAGTACGTAGTCTTTAAAAAGTAGTCTATAGAGTTTTTACATACATGCTGGATTCTGGCAAAACAATATTAGAAAGTATCGAAAGAAAATAATTTCTCTGTTTACAAGAAAACCTACTTGTTTTTTTAAACATCACGAAGAAATCCTTTAGTCTCATCCATAGCGCGCTTCCTCCTCTTATTATTATCATTCATATTCAAAAAAGTATGCATTCCACAGAAAACGAATGCACGAGTACAAGAAGGTTCTGAAAAGGCCTGAAAGACTTCATTCATGTTAAGGAACGTATGTAGACCTAAGAGATTTTACTGAATTATGAATCACTTTAATCTATCACAGAATCTATAAAAAATATTAGACCTCAAAAACATGATCATATATTCTTAAATCCAGATAAAGTGTAGATGACCAGAAGAGTAGCATAGACAGTGGAGAGCTCATAGCGAAAAGTGAAGCCAAACAAGTAACGTTGAAGAGCAACACAGAGAAATAAAGGTCTGTGGCTAAGTAGAAGACGGCGAGTCAAGTTGTAAAATAGTGCGATCGTCGAAACTCTTTCCTTAATTTCATTAATCGAGAATTTGAATTACTTTACATTAAACTTTAATGATATTATATATCTTCGGTGATAAAGATATCATCATTTTTTACATACGTATATGCCTTTCATTCTATTTATGCATATGTTCGCATTTGTATTCTTCTTATGTGGTTCCAAAAGACTTTCAATTGTGGTGATTCTTCCGAATATGGGATGCGCAGGAAATACCAGTCTAAGCAGTTCATTTATCGCCAGTTTATTTCACCAGAAAGGCGTATATGAAACTTTTAAATAAATTGAGCTGATTTTATCGCCCCTATATCGCTTTCTTCTCGAAAATCACACATTTCGCAGTAACTGACCGTCAAAGAGTTTTGATGATGTAACCATGAAAATGGCCCCGATTTACTCGGAATACATGTTCAGACGATACTCAAAAGAAAGTTTGATAAATCTTTTCTCTTGATACCTTAACGGAAGTTAATTTGAAATTCTCAAACTTTATTGATTGAAATAAAACATAAACTGTTTATTGTGTCTCACCTTAGTCAGTGGAGCGAAGAGACATTTAAACATTTGCATTAACTACGGACAACACAAAATTCATTCTGATGAATTATGTTCGAGAAATTTAGTGTTTACATATTATTTGCCAAGAAGACTCAGGTTTTTCTAAAAACTTTTATTATAGAGATAAATTTTATCTCTTTGAGTTATTACCTATACAACAAGGCTCAAGCCTTTTAAACTATTAGTTAGGTGTGTTATAAGTAAACAAGTAGATTAATGATCACAAATAATGCTCTTATTACAGTATGAAATATAATACGATGCACGTTCATTAATACAAAAATACAGAAAAACTTGACTAAAGTGTTATGTCTCAGTTAGTGAATACGGTATCTCGTGATCTTTAACACTTGATTTGATTTAATACCTGGACACATTAAATATATTTACTTAATAATATGCAATGATTATATGTTCCTGATCCTTGAATTTTTCAAAATTTTTTTTCAAAAATTTGACAATATATTTACTCACATATGCACGCACGCAAATCATAAACAATAATAATAAGAAAAGATAATGTTTATCTTTGCACCAAATCTCCCCGCCCTTTCTTCGCTATGATGTGAAAGCAGACTTTTTCTTTCCTTTGTTAAGACAGTTCTCGTGTAGCGACCACACCACTTACTGCCGTCCATATAATCATTCATTTATTTGTGTGTTATTAATAACAGAATCAGCTTTGTAATTGTATTTGTGCTTATATATGAAAGTATTTATTTATAAGATCGTATGTGTGTGCGCTCTCTATTAAATGTTTGCCTGCACTGGATATTTGTCGTATGTGCTGAAACAAAAAAAAAAAACAACCCAACAATGCTATGTTTCTTTATCGTTGTCGTCCGAAGAGCACAAGTGAATTTTTCCTATTCGGCATTTACAGTTAGTCTCCTTGAGCATGTCTAACTGTGAAAATGTTATACGTCGCGTATTTTTCGTGAATTTTGACTAAAATATTTTCTCTTTTACAACAAAACTTTTTTTCTTTTTTTTTGCATTTATTTAAATTAATGCTCTTCTTTTTTCCCATCAAATTCAATATTTATTTATTAATTTTTATTGAAATTGGACGGACGCGTTTGTGTTGCGCGAGTGCACAGTGAGAAAGTAAATTTCAAAAAAAAATAAAAATAAAAATATAACTCTGTTATCTCTAACTTACCTCTAGTTGTGATTAAAATTTACATGTCTAGCAAAACAACAAAAAGAAAAATTCGTTTTTTTAATGAAATTGATTTTAAAGAGATATACTAATCATAATGATGATGATGATGATGATGACAACCGTTGATACGCGTGATAAGTTTGTAAACACTTTAATTTTGTGTGTTATTTAATGATTTTATGACGCATTTCCTGCAAAATTTTATGCAAATTCTTAATTTAAATGAGGGCAACATTTTATTGGATTATGATGTAAAAATTGAAAACATTTTTTTGCTTCTTTTCTGCATTCAACATACAACAAACATCGTCTCACAGTGAATAATAATGAATAAAAGACTGTCACTGGTTGTTTGTGAAAAACAATTACTGTAAACATTAAAATAAATCCTATATATGTGTGTATTACAAGTTTTTTAAGAAGCCCTCTCTTATTATCTAAAATGCATTAGACTTGTAAAGTTTTTTAAGAAAATTTAAAAAATATAAAATATATTTTAAGCATTTTGGTCTAATAAAATTTCATTAAATTCAAGTGTTTTTTTTGCTTTGATAATACATACAAAGAAAGTTAAGCGGAGTTTCAAACGTCACCACCAAAAGATTTTTCAAATTTGGTAAATAAAGAAATAAGGAGAATATCAAGGATTATGTGAATCATGTTAAGGTCAAATTTTGTATAATTATTTCTTAATATCTGCAAATGTTTCACATTCCGCATAAGAGAATTATTTTAATTGATTAACACGTTCGCGGACGTGAAAAATTTTAGTGAGCTGCGAAAAGTGTCCTATTTTTGCAGTTGTGATATTCGAAATCTGAGATTGTAAGGGTAGTGAAAATACAATACAAAAAGTATATAGAATGAATATATAACATTCACAACAATACAGTCCAAACTTTCCCAGTTATGAGTTATTATTATTGTTATTGAATTTAAAATTTGAATGCAATAGTATTCACGTCCCCGAATGTGTTGAGCTAATAATAAAACACTTAATATCAGTTTTGGAAAACGTTTAGCAAAATATCTGATCTGGTCTAGGATGAACTAATATTGGTTTCGTGGTCAAGTTTTTAAAATTTTTTACTTTCACTGTACTTAGCACGAAAGGGCATATCGTCGTTCATGTACTTTTGTAAAAGCCAAATATAATCACTTAAAACCTTAGAATATATACAGAGGCGTCAATACATAGATTTATAGTGAAGTTCTGATCGCTCTCTGTCATCCGATAGTACATAACCACTAGCTGCGGGGTTTTACTGTGAAATTCTGATCGATCCCTTTCATTCGATTACACATAACCATAAAATTTACGCTCGAATATTTGCCGACATTTTATGACTATATCTATAAAAGTTTACGACATTCCATAATATGTTGAACGGACAAGCAAAAGCGTATATATCCGAGGTATTCCTCTTTTTTACCTTTAAAAAGGTAAACTTCCAAAATGCGTTAAGAGTGTTGTAATTGAAAGAGTTTTCGGGAAGTGGTTCTGCAAATTGCCTTTCATCTATACGATGCATCCTCCTCTTTGGTCAAACTTACGCGTCACAAACGAAAAGAGCGAAAGTACCGTAGAAGAAAGTGTTTGTGAGAGAAGCGTCTCTGCAAATGTGGTTAAAGTGGATAAAATAAAAATTGTAATTAATTCAGAGCAGCGCTGCGATCGCAGCCTCAATATAAACGTATCAATTATTGCGGAATAGTTACGAGGAAACACGAAAAAAAATCCTTGTGTCGAGTTTTATTCGGTATCGCTATTGATTTAAGCATAGACGAAAGGAGGTAGAATCAAAAGTGTCCCTTTTGAGGTCTCTTGGTCGTAATTTACGTTTGCAAAGTTCAAACATTTGTTCTCCTCTCTGAAGGGATTGTATTTTGGAAACTAGGGGGGTGTGGTGATTAAAAAAGCCCGCTTGTGTATTTATTTTAAAGCTGCAATCATAATCTAGACTCTAGTCCTTCAAAATTTACACAAGATTTAAATTTGACAGCGGACAGTTTAGGGTTGGTAAAAATGAGCGTATTACCCGAGAGAGAAACTCGTTTTCATTGTTCAACAATATCTCAAAAATAGTGAATTTTAAAAACAAAATCATCCCAAGCGATAAAGTTCACTTTCACGTTGATGACTTCGTTAAATGTCCGAATTTCCGCATTTAGGGTGCAGGGAGCTCATATGTTATTGTTGAAAAGAGCAAAAAAGAAATGCATTCACGACGTGTCACTAGACGCATAATATAGAGGCTAAAAGAATGAGTATGTGCCAGGAAACTCGTTCAAGCCATTATGCTGTCCCACGCATGATGCTATCCTATGTTCATTGTGATTGAATACAAAAATTAAAAAAATTTCGTCCATAAATTTTGGGACACCGTTTATAAAAGAAAAGAAAAATACAAAAAACCTTTAATTAATCCATGGATATGACGCAAAAACAGCAAATTCGCGAATAACCAACATTTACCCATAAGGCACACTTAGGCACCTGTCCTTAGGAATATCTTTCCTTTATTTGTCGGCTTTACTGACACCTAAAATTGGACTCTACGGTACATAAGAAGAATATCCATTGTATACATATATACTGTAAGGGACTATAGTTATATACTCTAAGGGACCTTTGACGTGCATTGAACATGTAATCAGAAAATTATTAAGTTTTCGCCTATTGTGTGTATAAAAATGTGCTAAAGATTTCTTATGAAATGCATTAAACAGTTTGTTATACGTACATACATACATATATAAATGTATATGCACTGAACCGAAAACCTTTTAGAATTTAATGCCCAACTTTTAAAAGAAACAAAAGTGTAAACAATGTTCTGATTGTTTACTGAATTCTGATATTAATGTTTTTTCTGTACATCAAGATAATGTATTTCAGCGAATATCGATGTGCACTGAAATGGACTTTGATTCTAAAAGTTTTCAGGCGGCATGTAAAGGTTTCCGCATTTTTTCAACATCTCTTTCAATTTTATTTCAATGGATTTAAACTTTTTTTTCCTTCTGCTGGGAAAAAAAAAGAAAAAAATATATAAACAAAGTTGAGAAATAAATGAAATGAAATAAAATGTAAAAACGTGTTTCGTAATGTTTAAATATAAAAAAAGTAAGAAACTTGAAAGGCTGAAAGAAATTGAAAGCTTTTACTTTTTTTCCTTTGTTTGTTTGTTTGTTAATTGCTTGTAATTTGTTCAATATGTATGTATGTGTGTATGCACGATTAATTCAATATATGTAGAAAAGGCAATTTGTGCTTGTTGAGATCTCAAAACAAGTGTAAGGTTATAGAGGAATTTCACTAGAGTTATCGAAACCGACATACGTTCTATGATCAAAAACTAACAGACATTGGGGTTAATTATAGCAGCAGTTGCATTATAAAAAAAAAAAAAAATTTTTTTTTTCTTAACTTGCGACAAATATTGGTTTCATAAAAAAGTATTTGCGATATTCGCCCTTGTTTTCAATAACTTAAGTCAGACTTACAAACCTACCTTCCTGGTATGTGGTATACACAGCCGTATTCTGACCAACATCAGAAATACCTCACAAGTCAAAAGCCATTTGTTTTATTATTGTTTTTCGGGATTTATCAACATTGCTTTATAGTAAACTATTCGGTTTTGTAGTAACATAATTCGGTTAATTATTGCAAGCAAGTTTTCAGCATTGAGTTTGCAGCCTCGTATTATATAAACTAAAGAAAAAGCGAATCAGAGAAACGAAAGATGGTGATTGTTTAGCAAAATGCTTATGCATGATAGGGCTCTTGCTTCTTAAAAGGATTCGGATTGACTCCTTGAGACTTCTCCAAGCAAATGCATTCTTTCATGTATGCCAAATGATCAACTCGGATTATGATGAGACGGGGTAAAGCAATCAATAAATCACTGCTTGAATTGTAGGATTGGAAAGTAACAGCGTTTCATAATAACAGAAACTTATAAAACTGGACCATGTAGTGAAAGACGAATAGCGAGAATTAACAGATTTGTGTTAACAGAGTTAACTAAAACCATGACAGTCAGATAATACATGTGGACATTTACTCTTAAAGACTTAGGAAACGGAATTAAAAAAAAATTAAAGAAAATTCGCCCAAATCTTTGTTACACAAAAGCGGCACCCAACGTGAGGCCGAAAACCAAAGAACGTTCAGATAAGGAGACAAGAGTTGTTACACTGTCTTTGATGAGTTGTGAGAAATAATTTCATCTACTAGCCTACCGCCATCTCGTTGCCATTTTCTTGGTGTGAAAATTTCGCAAAACCTCCTTGAATGGCAAACGTGTGTTTTAGAGCTACGCTTGATTCAGCTAATGTAAAGATCTCTAAAGCACGAATTTTCGGAAAGGACAGCAAAAGTTCATCCATGTTGTTTGCATTAAAAAAAAAAAAAAAAAAAAACATTTCTCGTCGTAATAAAAACTCGCAATTAATTTCAAACCAACTTATTTACTGCTTACTCGTTGCCATAACTGTTAGCGAATCACTTCAAGGAAGCGGGAACATATTAATAACTCTTTGGCACATTGACGTGGAGCGTTACAAACTGGATAGCATAGTTAGCATACTTTTTAAACATGGGGTACAAAAATTCATTGTATTTTTCATGGGAATTACTTACATTGCCTCAATATAAATCATAATTAACAACAACTTGACAGATTCCAAGGTGGGTGGTTAGCATTAACAAGAACGCGAATGAATTATAACAAAAGATTTCCCGCTCCCTTCTATGTATTGACTGTACATTTTCTTAGTGTTCTTTACCACATGGCGTAAAATAAAATAAAAGTATTGCATTTAACTTTTACTTTTTTTTTTATTTTTTGATTATATTATGCTTTAGACCATAGCATAGATCGAATTTCACATAGTTTAGGTTCATGTTAAGCAAAAAAGATCAGTATTTAGGCAGTAGTGTAACTTGTTGTTAATTCATTTTAGTTGATAGTGTTTATGTTAAAAGGCAGCGCTAAAGAGCTTATATAGAATACGTACATACTCGATAGTCGTAGAAGATGCTTTCATTTCACTTAAAATTCCAAGTTTATTTAATTGATTTTTTTCTTAAATGAACAAAATTCTCTTTTTAGTATAATCCCTGTCGCGTTTTAGATAAACTATTATGGTTTTTACCTATCTTGAAATGCGTTGTTTATGTAGCTGTTCTATTATTGTGGCTTTTTAGTATTCCTATATTTTGTGGTTTCTTTTTCGCGCGCCTCAAGGAATTGCTATCAAAGTGAGTGCAAGTTGTTGCAGTTTTGAACGTTTGCCATTTAAATGTTTTCAGTTGTACATCAAATTATCGTAAAAACAATAAAGTACGCACACACACACACACACACACACACACACACACACACACACAGAGATTCATACACAAAGACACGGTTTTGCGATCTCTACGCAATATAGGCCAGCAAGTACGTTGAACTGTTTCTTATAAAGAAACTAAAAGAATTATTACCGAGAACTGACTAAGTGTGTTAGTTTGTCATGTTGTTTGCTCACGGGATACATAGAAGAAGAATCCTTGGGAGTGCGGTGAATGAACTAATTGACAGATGGACAGAGTAAAGATTCGCGTTCGGCTCTTAGTATATACGCCTTATAGACAGATATGGCTTATGAATCTT